GGGAGGGACTGGGAGTGACTGGGGGGAACTGGAGTGACTGAGGGGAATTGGGAGTGACTGGGGGTAACTGGGAGGGACTGGGGGGCACTGGAATGGACTGGGAGGGACTGGGGGGAACTGGGAGGGACTGGGAGTGACTGGGAGGAACTGGAGTGACTGAATGGAACTGGGAGTGACTGAGGGGCACTGGAATGGACTGGGAGGGACTGGGGGGCACTGGGAGGAAACTGGAGGGACTGGGAGTGACTGGGGGGAACTGGGGGCACTGGGAGGGACTGGGGGAACTGGGAGTGAGGAGTGAGTGGTGGCACTGGGATGGACTGGAGGGTGCTGGGAGGAACTGGGGGGGTTCTCAGTGGGCGTGTCCCTGGCTGACCCCGCCCCTCTCCCCCCATCCAATCAGGGGAAGCTGCGGGGGAAGCGGAGGCGGGGCCTGGCGGGGCCGGTGCCCCTCCCCCTCCTGGGCCCCCTGGGGGGTCCGGGGGGGCCCCGCCCGAGCCCCCTCCCCACCCTGAGGGCGGGGAACAACCCCCAGAGGGTGGTCCTGGGGAGGGTCCTGTTCAGCCTGGCACCCCCGGGGGGCGTCCCCTAGTGAGTACGGGGCACTGGGGGGCACTGGGAGGGACTGGGGGGCACTGGGAGGAACTGGGAGGGGTTTGGGGGGCACTGGGAGGAACTGGGAGGGACTGGGATGGACTGGGATGGACTGGGAGGGATGTGGGGGCGCTGGGAGGAACTGGGATGGACTGGGAGGGGTTTGGGGGGCACTGGGAGGGGTTTAAGAGGAATTGGGAGGGAGCTGGGGGGCACTGGGAGGGACTGGGAGGGAACTGGGATGGACTGGGAAGGTTCACTGGTCCCTCCCCAGGGGGGTCCCTCGTTGGCCCTTCCCCCTCCCCATGGCCCCGCCCCTTTCCCCATCGCCCCACCCCTTCCCCATCGCCCCACCCCTTCCCTTTGAGCCCACCCCTTTCTTGTGGCCACTCCCCTTCCTGTGGCCACGCCCCTTTCCCGTAGTCCCGCCTCAAACCCACCCAAAAAACATCCTGAAAACCCCCAAGAACATTCTGAAAACCCCCCAAACGGCCCCAACCCCCCCCAAAATCACCCCCTGTCCCCCCCAGCGCGGTGGGGCTGCAGGACGGGGGCGGGGCCGTGGCCGCCGTCACCATTTACAACGCGGGGCCCGACTGGGGCGTCCACGTGGGCGACGCCCTCGCGGTGCCCGACCCACTGGTGACCCTCCACCAGCACCAGCACCAGGGACAGGTCGGACTGGGGGCACTGGGAGGGACTGGGGGCACTGGGAGGGACTGGGAGGGATTGAGGGCACTGGGGGGCACTGGGAGGGACTGGGGGGTGCTGGGAGTGACTGGGGGGCACTGGGAGGGACTGGGGGCACTGGGGGGTGCTGGGAGGGACTGGGGATGGGATGGGGGGATACTGGGAAAGACTGGGACATGCTGGGAGGGACTGGGGAACAATGGGAAGGACTGGGAGGGACTGGGGATGGGATCTGGGGCACTGGGAGGGACTGGGGGCACTGGGCAGCACTGGGAGCAGCCCCGGTGATCCAAACTGGTCTGTACTGGTTCATACTGGTCCCAACCTGTCCGTACTGGTCCCACAGACCTTCTCCTTCATGGGCATCCGGGTCTCCTCCCCGCTCTCATTGGTCGTCAACGGGCGCCGCCCCCCGGGCTCCGCCCTGGCCCCGCCCTGCCTGGCACTGTCCAATCCGTGTGCACCACCGCCCACCCCGGCCACGCCCACCCCGCCCTGACCCCGCCCACGGGGTTCAGTAATAAAGGACCTTTTTGTTGGAGCCACGCCCCCCCAGGCCCCATATTGGGGGAGGGTATGGGGTGGCCATGTTGGATGGGTGTGGTTATGGGGAGACCATATTGGATGGGAGTGGTTATGGGGGCTTCCATCTTGGGTGGGTGTGGTTATGAGGGCTGCCATCTTGGATGGGAGTGGTTATGGGGGCCGCCATCTTGGATGGGAGTGGTTATTAGGGAGGCCATATTGGATGGGTGTGGTTATGAGGGCTGCCATCTTGGGTGGGTGTGGTTATGGGGAGGCCATATTGGACATGGGGGCTGCCATATTGGATGGGTGTGGTTATGGGGGAGGCCATATTGGATGGGTGTGGTTATGGGGGAGGCCATCTTGGGTGGGTGTGGTTATGGGGAGGCCATATTGGACATGGGGGCTGCCATCTTGGATGGCAGTGGTTATGGGGGAGGCCATCTTGGGAAGCTCATGGGGCACCCCAGGGAGGGGTTTTGGGGGGTCTGTGAGGGCACTTTGAGGGGGTCTCAGTGGGCATTTTGAGGGGTCCCTTAGGGCACCTTTGGGGGAGGGTTTGGGGGTCTCTGGGGGCCATTGTTGGGGGATCTTTTTGGGGGGTCTTTGGGGCCGTTTTGGGGGGGATCTCTGGGGTCCCTTTCGTGCCCCCTCCCCCCAAAGCACCGTTGTTTACAAACATCCGTCCTTTAATCGTCATCTCGAGGTATCAAAATTAAACGAGGGGGGCGGGGGAGGGGCCGGGGGAGGGGCCGAACCGAACTATGAGAGGGGGGAGGGGAGGAGGCGCAGGGCGGGGGAGGGGCCACGACAGCACGAACACGGCGGGGGAGGGGCTGTGGGCTGGGGGGGGGGCTCAGGGAGGCCCCGGGGGGCTCGTGGGGGTCCCGGGGGGGCTCTCAGGGGTCGTCCTCGCCGTTGGCGCTGTCCCGGTCGTCCTCCCCCTCCTCCGCCTCCTTCTCGTCCCCCTTGATGGACTCGAGCTGGGGGGGAGAGGGGGGAGGGGTCAGGGAACGGCCCCTCCCCCACGCACAGCGCGAGGCAGGGGCTGGGGGCACTGGGGGGCACTGGGATGTACTGGGATAGACTGGGAGGCACTGGGATGTGACCAGTGGGGCACTGGTCTGTACTGGGAGAGTTTGGGGGCACTGGTCTGTACCTGGTGGCACTGGGAGGGTCACTGGTCTGTACTGGGATGGGGTTCAGGGGCACTGGTGTGTACTGGTCCATACTGGGGGGCTCTCGCCTGCTCGTCCCCCCTCCCCTTGGGGTCACTGGTCTGTACTGGGGGGCACTGGGAGTGTCCTTAGTCTGTACTGGGGGGCTCTGGGAGTGTCCCTGCTCTGTACTGGGGGTCACTGGGAGGGCACTGGTGTGCACTGGTCCACACTGGGCTCTCACCTGCTCGTCCCCCCTCTCCTCAGCCTCCTCGTCGTCCAGCAGATCCCCCTCCTCGGCCGAGTCCTCGTTGCCCCCCTCGGCCTTGGCCCCCCCGGCCTCGTCCTTCTTGGAGCCGCTGCCGCCCTGCTCCTCCTCCGCCTTGTCGCTCTTCGCCTCTGGGGGGGGGACAGAAAAGGGGGTTTGGGGACAGGAAAGGGGTTTAGGGGCAATTTGGGGACAAAAAAGGGGGTTTGAGGAGGATTTGGGGGCAAAAGGGGGGGATTTGAGGCCTTTTAAAGGGGCAGGGGGTGGGGTTTATGAGGTAGTAGGTGGAGCCTGTGGGCAGTGGGTGGAGCCTGTGGGCAGTGGGTGGGGCTTATTAAGCAATGGGTGGGGTTTATGGGGCAGTGGGCGGGGTTTGTGTGCCTGACCCGTAAGAAGGGGGGTGTCCACAAAGAAAAGAGCTGTTTTCCCCAAAAAAAGGGCCGTTTCCCCCAGAAATGACCGTTTTCCCCCCCAAAATGTCCGTTCCCCCCGTCAGGGCGTGTCCCTCACTCTGCTCCCGCTCCAGCCGCTCGAGGCTCTCCAGCAGCGCGTCCACCTTGGCCTTGATCTGCCCCAGCTCCTTCTTGATGCTCTGCAGGTCGTCCCCCTTCACTGCGGGCCCAGAAACGGCGGGATTCACCCCAAATCCCTTGGGATTCACCCCAAATCCCTCAGGATTCACCCCAAATACCTCGGGATTCACCCCAAAACCGCAACACCACCACCCAATTTCCTTGGGATTCACCCCAAACCACCCAAACCCATCAGGATTCACCCCAAAGGCCCCAAACTCACCGGGATTCAGCCCAAAGCCCCCGGAACCCCCAAATCTGTCAGGATTCACCCCAAAACCCCCCAAACCCATCAGGATTCCCCCCCAAGGCCCCAAGGCCCCACTCACGTTTGCCGCTCTTGGAGGAGGAGCCCCTCTGTCCCGACTTGGAGTTGAAGCTCTTCCCGCGCCGGGAGGTGTTCCCGGAGACCCGCTGGCGCTTGGAGGGGACGACGGCGCGGGCGATGGGGGGAGGGGG